TCAGCTCTGCCACTTGCTACTGGCTGGGCCACCTGGAATAACTAAAGGTCAGTATCTGTTAAAATGATGATTGCTCTTACTTCCAGGGTCGGGACTGGGGCGAGACAAGAGAGGTGCCTAGGGCACACAGTTTCAGGAGGGACTCACCTCAGCTCCCTGCAAGGGCAGGGTTGGCACAGCCTTGCTAGCTGCCAGCCTGTTCCATGTACGATCTTCATTAAATTAAAAAACAGCCTTGTGCAGTTGATGTTATTATTATCTCCAATTAAAAGTGAAGAACCTTGGCTTAGGGAGGTTGTGCAGCTCACCCAAGCTCACACAGCTGGTAGACAACAGAATTGGGACTCAAGCCCAGGCTCATCCTCAAGTTCAAGGTCAGTTTTTGGAGGATCCTGAACAGCAGTGTGGGGGAGGCGAGAGGAACAGCGTGTCTCTGATGGGTCTGAAGCTGAGCACAGAGACAAATAACCAAGGCCGGAGTGGGAGTGGGGCGCTGGGGCTCTAGGACATTGAGATAAATCTTATAAAGTCAGCCCCACACCCACCCTGCAGCCACGCAGGTGGCCAGGACAACTAGAAGCACTCCTGGATTAGATTCCTTTGCCATCTGTGCCTGGGGTGACAGATGGGTTCCCAAAGTGCAGAAGGAAACCGGCTGAGACCTCCCCAGCCAGAGAGGAGCCTGCGTAACGCCTGGCTCCCGTCAGCGGCCCTGGGGTCTCCGTGAGGGGGCTGAGGAGCTGGCTGTGCAGGAAGAGGAAGAGGCAGGTTCCCCAGACCCTGGTTTAACTAGGCATCCAAGCCAGGAGCTGGGCTTCTGCTAAGCTAAAGAGCAGGGGAGGGCCTGGCTCTAGGAGTCGTGCTAATAATTCCTGATAAGGTAATCAGGTGTGGAAAATGGATCACGTGTCAGTCTCAGCACCGGGTGGGGCCTTAGGAAAGCAAACTCAGGATAGGGAAGCAGTGAATGTTCTAGCGACTAGAGAAGCCACTCTCAGAGTCTGTGCCAGGCACTGAAGAAACAAGCAGGGAGGGAGGAGTCCTGCCCTGAGGTGCTCACAGCCTTGAGAGAAGCAGCTAATAACTGCAGCGGCAGCAAGGAACATTTCCTGAGTACTTATGATGCAGGGAGCTTTGTAGACACAATCTCCTTTGATCCTACAAAGAGGGCACTGTGACTCCAGATGAGGACACTGAGGCCAGGGGGTGGGGGACCCAGCATGAGGCTTCCCGGCCAGGGTGCAGAGGACCCAAGGATGTCTCAGTCTGGCAACCACTTGCCCTTTCCACAGCATAATTAGTTTGCCAACTCTTTTTTTTTTTTAAAGCAAAAGAGAATCATTCTTTGAATTTCAGAGAAAGCCAGTATATAAAACACATCAAAGAAGAGCTGAAGGGACAAGAATGAGGGCGCTAGAACTCTCCCCGCCCCACACAGCCTCCCCTTCTGGGGACGATTTAAATGCCCTTCCTGAGACACCAAGAAAGCTCGGGCACAGTTCTGAAAGATTTGTCTGGCACTCTGGCCGCAGACTCAGGTCCTGCAGCTGGACAGAGCTCAGTTCACTGAGCGCCTCCAGGACTGGGCATGCGCGGTGTATCCTAGAAAGCTCCTACCGGAAGCATCATCCAGGGGCCCCTGGCTGGTGTCTGTGGTGGGCAGCGCTGCTTCATTCATTTAATACTAGTGAAGCACCCACTCTGGGCTGGGCACCAGACAGTAGCTCTGGCTAGAGTGCGAGTAGAAATGCATGTGGTCCCTGCCTTCCTAGAGCTTAAGTCTAGTGGGGAAGACAGCCTGTAGCAGACATGTTCCTAAAAGGAACTTGGATCACAGATTGTGAGCAGGGCAACGAAGGAAAAGCTCAAGGTCAAGCAGATGTGAGCAGGAGGACCTGATGAGTTCATCTCTGAACAGGGCACCGATGAGAAATCTGGGCCACCCAGCAGCTTCGACCAATGGGAAAGGGGATTGCTGGCTTCAGGGAGGTGGCCAAGGCCCAGGAATGGACAGGACAGGGAAGGGTGGTCTTGGGCTCTCCCTGTCCCCCAGGTATTCCCAAGGCAGGTCAAAAATAATAAGTTGTGCCCAAACCAGCAGGGGGTACTTGGTCCTATAGCATCTTTATGTTCCTCAATCCTGAAAGTGACAAAGAAAAATCCTTCCAAGGGTTGGATTATTGCAAATCCAGGACTCAGTGCAATGAATAATGAATAAGTGAAATCACAATTAAAACCGGGAATCATTAAGCAGATATAACATGTCCACGTAGGTTCTAATCTAAATTCACCTAGGGCCGGTCCATACACCAGAAAGGGTCTGCTACCCTCCTCCAGGCCTGGCCCGGCTCCCACAGTCATTTATTTAACAAATATTTAGCAAACACCTGGTTTGGGCAGAACACCAGTTTCCCGGCACATGCCTGGCAGAGAGCCAGGGCTGTGTACACACTTGCTGCTCTCTGTGGAGAGGAGAGACGCCATCCCACACCGGTCCTACTGTGGGCCGCCTTGCCGAGCCCCTGCTGTAGAAAACTCACACTGAAGCAGGTCGGAGGAAGGCCAGGCGGCCACTTGGTCCCCAGTGCTGGTCCCTGTGGAGCCCTTTCCTGGGTCACATGGATCCTAGTCTCTGGGATTCTGAGCAGAGAGAGGGGGCTGTCCTGAGCTTCTGGCTGGCTTCTCTGCAGAGGCTGACACCCCAGCGCTGCTCCCTCTGCCTGCCCCAACCTCTCTCCACCTGCCCAGCCCCACCCCTCCTCATCTCAGTCGACACCACTTTCGGAGGAGCCTCTTAATCTGCTCCCAGCTTCTCTTCTCTGTGCTCTTTGGGCCCCATGGCCCCTATCTCAGCACTCAGCGTGGTGTCTTGGGTCTGTGACCCTCCCCCAGAATGCATGTTTCTTGACGGACAGCTTGTGTCTTATTCGTCCATGTAGCCTGTGTCTAGCGATGAGTGTGCAACAGAGGAGGAGCTCAATAAATAAATATTGAGCAAATAATCGTAGGCAGATATGCAGAAGACGATATCTTCATGCTCATCTATTCAAATAGCTGTCTATCCTCTCTTTCTCACACACGCACACACGCACATGCACACACACCTTTGCACACACTCTCTCTCCCTGTCTGATGTACTTTCTCACACTCACCCCTCTAGCTGCATGATGTCCTTCTGTGATCTCTCTCCCCATCTGATGCTGCCTGGGGTGCACAGACCCACCTGCAATCAGCTAAATTAAAGAGCTTTTGACACTGGTCCTGCAGAGGCGATGGCCTGGTCACCCTCTCCAGACACATACCCATCTCGGTCTCTGACCGCTTCTTCACATCTGGTCACTGCAACACATCCTGAAAAGGGACCCCACATCTCAGCGTCCCTGGGTCCTTGTGGCAATGCTGGGAGGTGAACAGGGTCGAAGCAATGGACTCATTTTACAGATGAGGAAACTGAGGCTCAAAGAGGCTGTGGCTTGCAAAGGGACCAAAGCCGGAATTGGGACCTAGGTTCCCTAAGGCCAGGCCAAAGCTCTGGTTGCTGCATTCTGGGAAAGCAGAGCCTGCAATAGGATGCTGCGCCTCACCCACCACCCCAAGATCCCAGTATCCCTGCTGCGGGAAGAAAACCTCAGTTTCTCTCGGAGGATTGAACGGAGGAACTTTGCACGATCCTCTAAGCCCTCTGCTCTCTCCCCATCACCTCAGTCCAGCCCACTAAGGACCCCCAGTGATTCTGCCAGCAGCCCGGCCCTCAGCATTTGGTGTTCGTCCACCTGGGCTTCCCGGGGGGCAGTGCCCTATTTCAGTAGTGGAGTGGGGACAGAACAAGAGTGACGAAAAGGCATGAGAAAGGAGGCAGGCAAAATCTCACCGTTCGCTGTCCCACGCCCACCTTACAATTTGCACCAGGCTGGACCTGCTGGGTAGCCGGGGGACCAGAGCCACTTCATTACAGCTGGCCACACACAGCCTTTATCTTCTCTCACTGTCATTTTAAAAATCCCGATCAAGGGTTTGTGAGCCTCCCTCCTTCGCTGCATACCCTGCCTGCTGTTTCCAGTGCGTCTCCCCCAAAGACTCTTTCCACCTGAACAGAAGCATAAATATTTAAAGACGTTTTTTTTTCAGCCAGTGAAACCACATCATGGTGCTGCTTTCTTTTCAAATTTTATCTCTGGAAAGTTTGCCAGAATGTCTCCGAGCACCTCCCTGTCCCTGGTCCAGAGTGCAATGGGGGCTCCAGAGACAGGGACAGCCCCGGGAAGTTAGCCTCCACTCTGCATTGTGAGGCTGAGCCATGGACACGCAGTCCTATGGCTGGTCCACAACCTCCTTCTGGGCTGCAGAGGGAGTTAAACCTGCCAACTCCCTCCAACCCAGTTCTTGGAGAAGTAAAGAAGACAGACATCAACACAGGCAGGAGATGCGGAGAGACAGGGATACAAGACAGCAGAGTGATGAACCAAGCCGCAGAAATGGAATCCAATGAGAGGAAGCTCTTGCACATCAGACCCAGAGCTGATACGCATCCCGTATTCACCAGCGCACGATGGATTCCAGCCCCGTTGCCACCTCCTGCTGGCCCTCGCAAGCGTCTCTGTTCTGCAGAATTGCTCACAGCCCACCGCATCAAATCTCTCTTATCAACAAGACACAACACTCCGCGGATAACTTCTTGAAACTCTAGTCACGCTCAGCCTCTTCCAGTGCCCTGGGAAGGGTTCTGTTCCTCTGCCCGCCTGTAACCAGTCAGCCACACACCACCAAATCCATTTCCAAAGTTCCAGGCAATTACAGCCGGCTGAGCTCCCTGGCGTAGTGCCCGTCTGCTCAGAGCCAGGACCCAGGTTATCAGCAGCCCTGAATCCCAGGCACCAATTTCCCCCCAGCCTCCTCTGAGACCCAGGTGCACCAGAACGGCCACGCTTGCCACACCAAGGCGCTGTAACCAGCCAGGCCACATCAAGACAGAAAAGGAGGATCAAGGCCAGACTCCCTACCTTTGCTGAGGGTCCCAGTGATGAGCTTAAAGATGGTCTGGGCAAATTTCACGAACCCAAGCTTGCATCTTTTGGAGCAGCCGCTCATGGTGGCAGAGGGAAGGCAGGCTCTGCCGTCAGCGCCCAGAAAGGAAGGCTTCCACCTTGCGTGCCCCCGGAACTTGGAGACTGCCTGGGCAAACCCTGAGAGATGGACGCACCCCAGAAGCTCCGGGAACAGCACAGCTGCCTCTGCAGTGAGTCCGACTTCTGCATCCAGAGAGCCTGCAGGGCAAGATGCTTGCTCCCTTCCCCCTCCCTCCCTCTGCCCCCTCCTGCTGTCCACTCAAGTCCTCGCCACAGGAGGACCTCGGGATGCCAGGGCTGGGCCGGCACTGCCAGGGCACGGGGCGCTCCGAGGGAACGGAGGAGGAGAGCGAAGCTGAACGGAGCGGGGAGGGAGGAGCAGGAGCTCTCCCAGGCTTTGCTGACTGTCTTTCTTACATGGCAGTGGTAATGTAGCAATTAATACTCGAGTCAGAAGGGAGGGGACTGCTACGCAAAACTCTGCTCCGCAGCCTCACGGCTCGCTCTCCCGCTCTTTCCTTCCTGGTTCATCTAACAGATCAATTCTCCGTGCCTTGACCGGGCGCTGGGAGAACTCCCCACAGAGCAGGAGCCGGCCGCTCTGCGCTCAGTGGAAAGTTTGCAGGCAGCTTCTGAGTGGCCTGGTTTGCCTCACGGAGAAGTGGGCTGAGTGGGGAGCCCCGGGGGAGCTGGCCTGGGCAGCTCCCTTGGCACCAGTAGCAGGGGCTGTCTGCCTTCATGACATGGGAGGTTAATACCTCTGATCGCCTCCTGGCTCCAGCTGCCCCTGACTCAAAACCAGCTGTTCCATCCAGCTTCCACCCCGGGAGAGCAGGCAAGGGTCTGTGCTGTCTCATCAGGATAGGAGAGCAAGGCAATTAGGGTTTTTCTCGATGAAGAAAGTATTCCTCAGAAGTGCCACAAAGGAATGACTGAACTTCACACAATTTGACTACAGTTCAATACTCTTTGAAGTAAAACTGCAAGGCAGAATGCAAAGATGAAGTTATTGCTTAATGATGAACGTGTTGCTTAATGAAACACCTGGCTGCCATTCAGTACCATAGACTGTGCGATTGTAAGGGACCTCAGGGGACATCTCCTCCCACCCTGTACACAGGGCATGAACCTCCCCTACGACATCCCTGCTTTGCTCTCCTTCATGATTCAAGAGCTCCTCATGGACCACCACCACGGGCACCACCTGCCAGTGTGCTGCCGCTACAGGGGAGCAGCAGATGTGAAATCCACCTTCAGCTGAACTAAGCTATGCCCTGGGAGAGTCTTTCTCTTCCTCTCCATCAGCCTGTCTCCCTATTATCTGTTTCTCTGGGATGTGTGAGAGGAATAGGTTGCTTAAGACCCAGGGAATGGAGACTACCAGTTGATAAAATGCCAGAGAAGCCAGAAGCCACGCTCCACGTCTGGTTTCTTCCCCATCTTCTGTGAGTCATGTGGAAACGAATCTTCAAATAAACCTCAGCCCTTAGAATGAATGGTCACCAACAAGTTTTAGATCCAAGAGCAGACTCAGAGACAGCCCACAAGCACAGAGCCTTTCGCCAAGCCCCAAAGTGGCCTGAGCTCACCACTGTAGTATGAGTCACAACATGTCCCATGGAAAGGAGCCCTGGCAGAAAACACTCCATTGTGCTTGATGTCTTAGGGCTTGAAATTGCCACACTGTTCACTCTTTGTCTTAAGGCATGGAAGGTCCTGGTCGGAACGCGCATGGTATCTGGGAAGGGCAATGGCACTTAGTTCTTCATTTGCTTATTCGAGTATCCAGTACTTACTGAGCGCCCAGTGTGCAGAAAAGAGCTGAGCAGCCAGGCTGTAGGAAGCACTGAGTGCCCAGGATGCAGAAAATACCGAGCTAGGCAAACTAGACAGACACGGAAAATGCTCCCCTTGACCTTCTGGTGCAATGGAGTCACCAGCAGACACTAAGGGCTTGTTGAGAATCCGTTTATCTGATGAACTTCGTGCACTTTGCAGAATCTTAGTGGGATGGAGACACAGGGCAGGCAGGTGTGAAAAAGAAGCAAAGAATGAGAGCCTGCAACACTACCTGGCAGGCAGGGAGCGGGCAAAGGACAGCACTACCTGGGCACCGAGGGGGAGGGGAAATGTTAGAGAAAGCCTAAAGGAGGCTGTGGTACCCACCTGACTGCTTACCAAGGAGAGTTTGCCCTCGGAATGGAGAATTCACTCCACAGCTCACAGAAACATCAGCGAGGCCCAGTTGCTTCTCTCTTCCATCCCCCATGAAAAAGAGGGATGTGGAGATTGAGAAGCCAGAAGAAACATGGCTCTGACTTTAGCGACATCAGCTGACCCAGAACTGAGTCTCCCGGGCCTGGAAACCTGGCCAGGAAACCTGCTTCAGGAGTGACTCCCAGAAGGCGATCGGGACATCTGTAGGAGATGTGTGGGAGGATTTGCATCTGGGCTCCAGCTCGGGAATCTGGAATCCCAACCTTTGAACACGTTGCGGGAAGAAAGCAACGGCACCCGCTGTTGGAAGGATCTGGCAAATCCAGTGAACCAGTGTGTCACAACTCCTCCAAGAAAGACAGGGACTGGCGAAGAGGGGATCTTTGCACCAGGTATTTAATCACTCATTCATCTATTTCACTCAGATGTGTGTTGAAAACAGGCTGTTACCATGGCCTCTGCTCCAGGCTCTGAGTATACAGTTGTGGGCGAAACAAAGTCCCTGGGCTTATTGAATTCACATCCATGTGGTGCAAGGATGGACACAGTCAATACACGTGTCTATGTACAGGAATGTGCTTTGGAGGAAAAGGAAGCTGAGTGGGTGGAGAGTACCAGGAGCTCCGGATTTACAGGATCATCGAGGAAGGCTTCTCCCTATTGAAATGACATTCAAGCAGCTCCCCCAAACCAGCCATGCAGCATCTGGGGTAGGAACTGTTGGGGCTGAGGGAACAGCAAGCACAGAGCCCAAAGACAGACCTGAGATTCTGGGGTCTGGAACTTAGCAGCTGTTGAGCAAGCAGGCGAGCTCAGTTTTTCTTCTTGAAAATGGCAATAATAATTCTAACCTTATAGGCTTTGGAGGAGTTTTAAATGAAATCAATGTGCTTAATATGGTGTGCGTCATAATGAGCCACCTCGTCTGTGGCAAAGGTCATTATCACCACTCCTACTGCTGCCACTGTTGGTGGTGGTGCCATCACTCCTGGCCCTGTCCCCTAAACCACTCCATAAGTAAGTAGAGGCTGTGTAGGTAAAGCTTCATTATCACCGGAAATCCTGGAGCCAGGCCCCCCTAATAGTAACTCAAACACTGAGCATTTCAGATTCTCCTCTGATCTCAGCAAGGCATCAAGTTTTGAACTCTCAGTCTTAGATAAACGAGGCAGGCCCAGGGAAGGTCAGCAGCATCAAAACCTCACACAGCAAAATCCCCAGAAATGTGGGCAAGGTGTTTAGTGTGCCAAGAACATTCCCAATGAAGGAAGGCAAGTGGTGCCAGGATTAAATTCAAGACAGGAGAGAATCCGTTTCTGCTCAAGGAACACGCTCTTCTGCAAATAAAGAACAGGAGAGGCCACATGGTCACGAAGTCTTCAGGTGGCACCAGGGAAATCAGACCATCAGCGGGTTTGTAATTAGCCAGCCTCCCTGTCACAGATGTGAATTAGCTGAAGGAACTTGGGAAGGCAGAGTTCTCTGCACCTGAACCGTTTACGGGAATCTTCACACGCCAGTCCAGGGGGAAGGAGGAGAGGCAGACGGGGCCCCATACGGCGTCTGGGCCCAGAAGCATGCGCCAACCTCTCTGCATGCAAGGCTAGGAGAGCGAAGTCCCCTAGAAGGTTGACAGGCTGTCCTCACGGTGATAACAGTGGCTGCAGCATTCCCTGAGGGCCATCCACATGCAGGTGGCTGCTCTGAGGACTTCCTTTCCACATATCTAAGCCTCACAATAACCCCACGAGGCAGAGACTATTATGTGACCCATTCTATAGATGGGGAAACAGGCCCAGAGAGAGTAAGTTACTTGTTGATGGCCACACAACCGAGACAGAATTTGAGTCCAAGACCATTTGACGTTTGACTCTAAAATTCATGGAAACATCTCATCCCTCGTGTGGGTTCAAAATTAACGTGATGGGCAGTTTGAGGGAGACATATTTTGCCTCAGTATTGAAAGAAACAAGCAGCTGTCCATTACAGTCAAGCTCCCCGTGCTCGGAAGCCTGGAGAGAGGATGGTAACATCGTCCTGAAAGGAATTCCCTCTACGCCGTGGTTGTGGGGGTGCGAAGGGAGATGGAGAGCAGCACGGTGAGGTGCAGATTCAGTCGCTGTGCAGCCAGGGGACACCAGCCACATCACAAAGGGGGAGAGCGGACAGTGAGGAATTGTGGAGATGGGAACTGTGGGAAGCAGCTGCCAGCTCTAGCACTGGGGGTGAGAGTGGGGGACTGGAGACCAAGGAAAGAACTGGGATCATCAGAACCGAGAAGCCTGGAGGAGGGACCCCAGGAGGCTGAGACCCACACCTCTGAGGAGCAGCTGTGGCTGGCTGGTGCTGGTGTCTCTGAGTGAGAGCTATGAGCGTGATTCTGGGACTTCAAAAATATACATCAGAAACTGGCACCAATTGCTGTGACTGGAGCCTACTGCCACTGCTAGGGTAAAGAGCCGTTGTGGTGAGGACACAGGCAGGAGCGAGAAGCTGCCTGGAAGGAATAAGGCCCCCTCTCCAGCCTGCAGCCTCCCTCTCTCCCTACCAGCAGAGGCTGCTGGCAAAGCAGACACGTGGCTTGCAGAGTCCCAGCCCAGCATCCTTGAGCAGGGCGGAGAGGGGCGCCCTTGAAGCTGGCGGTCAGTACGTTAATAACCAGCCTAGTCTAGGTGTCCTCTCTTCCAAAATTCTAGAGTCCTACTATGTGCCAGACATTAGGGATACATCAGTAAATAAGACAAACTCCCTTCTCACATGGAAATTGCATTTTAGAGATGGAGTGAGGAGGGGTGCTCGTACCATAAACAAGCAAAGAAATTTGTAAGGTGGAGAATTTCAGGGTGTGAAAACAACTCTGCAGCAACTGAGTGACCAGTCTGTGTTTTCTAACCAGCAGGATGGAGCCCTCTCAGACCTCACTGAATAGTTCATAACAGAACAACCACTAAGAGGAAAAGGGCAGACTCCATGGGGGTCATGATCGTTACACAAATAATCACCGTGATTGTTACCCTGTTAGTAGACTCTGTGAAGGGTATTATATTTGGATTATTTGGGGGTTGTAAGAAACTCATCGGGTCGGTATTATTATTTCTTAAACCCATTTCACAGATGGGGAAGTGGAGGCTCAGTCAGATTTGCTGGTTTGTCCCACGGGAGGAGGTCGGGTCAGGGGGACTGATGACTGACTGGAGGAAAGTCTGTGGGATCAGAGGGAGTCAAAGTCGCCAGGAGTTCTAGAAACAGAAACAAGAAAGGTATAAAGAGGACCAGGTCTGAGGAGGGAGATGGTTACAGATTTCGGATGTCTTGCGGAGAGAAACGTCCAGCTGGTAGATGGAAATGAAAGTGAGGAACTCAGGGGAGAGGGTAGGAGCTAGAATCCTCATAAATAAATGATTCTTGCTGCTGCTCAGGAAGAAAATAAATGTGGGATCCCAGCAGGCCAAAAATATTAGCATTT